TAAAGAACTTGATTTTGATCGGTCAGTTTGTATGGCAGCTATACTTGTATCGTAAAGTGACTCGATTTGAACAATTTCTGCGGAGTTTAAACCACTTGCCTTGTACAAGAACCCATGCCAAATGACGTGAAAAATCTCCTAAAATGAAACGAAAGTTTTTCATACAAACACTTGAGCGCGATGGTTACTCTTCTCAGGGGATTGCAGCATTGCTTTATAGAACAAACCGTACCAAATTTCGTGCAAATATTTTCTCAAATGAAAAGTTTATCTTACAAGCACTTGATTACCATTGTTCAGCTTGTATGACGGCTATATGCTATAGTGATCCGATCCAAACAATTTCTTCAGAAAGATATATGGTCAAATTTAAAAGTTGCGCATACAAGCACTTGACCCTGATATATGTAGCTATAAGCTATAGTGGTCCGATATTGGCAGTTCTGAGGACTGAGCAGCTTCTTGGGAGGAAAAAGACGTGTGCAAAATTTATATATGATGCTGATCATTTATATATATACTTCATAGAGCCTCTCATGTTTTCTTGTGGGTTTTACAAACTTAGTGGAACTCTAATATAACTTGTTCAAAGTATAAAAATTGACTAGATTGTATTTTAGCATTTTATAGTTTTATCGGTATTCCATTCTCACCTGCTTGCGATTGAACCGAGCCTATAACAAAGCTTAATAGTAACAGATATAATACATGATTGCGCCATAAATTTAAAGTTTTTAATAGTTTTTTCAAAAACTGATCTCCATAAAATTAAAAGAGTGACCCTTAAAATAATTTAAAAAAATGTTTGCATTATGCTTTTTGTTAAGTACAGAAAAATCCAATAAACTCGAGTTTATGTCGTAATTTGCTTCACATTTTGATAAAATCTCACTCCTAACTTTTTGAGTTTTCATTTTGATACGGTTTTTATTTGGCTAGTTATCAGATTGGTACTGCTATAGACTCTGTACATAAATAAACAGTACTTTTTAGTACACACTAAGGTTGGGTATTTTATAAACTGATAAAATGTATTATAAAATGGAAGTATAAATTATATTGATGGTAACTCGTACTTCATATACTTGTATGCTTCAGTCGGATCTTTGTCTGTTAAAGCTTATCAAAAATGCTCTTAGATAAGATCTACTATTCTCATAATTGCCGCTCTGGTATATTTTTAGTTAACTATCAAATACAAAAGCCTAAACAAACACTATCTAGGTCATCAGTAAACATTTGTAAGTATTATCAATTCTTCTCTACTCTACAACAACCGAAACCCAAACAAAAACTTAAGCCACAATTATGAAGACGATTAACTAATGATTGGTAATATGTAAAGTATATTTATTCATCACGAAACTAGTATCTTATGGAACGTTCTTCATTTTCTGCAGGTAAAAATATTCACAGCATAGCAAATGGAAAAGGGCATGCCTTAAAATGCCTTTCACAATACTTACTTTGCTACTGAATATTTTTATATTCTAGCGAGGTCAATGTTGGTGAAATATTCATTAGTTTCAGATTTACACTTTTAACATTCACTATGACCTTCACCTTCGCCCTCATACATTTTCGGCTATTCAAATTTATTTGCTGTTTATTGGTCTCTGGTGTGTTGTAATAAACCCACAATGCTGATAACAGTGTTTCAATTTAACAGTATACCACTAACATATACGTGTTAACAGAAGCAGACATTTTATGGTACATACTTGTATATCGAATTTTGAAAAAGCTAATGACCTTTAAAACAGACCGCGTACGGTGAACAATAAGTTATGTACACATGTACATACGTATATGAAACAAAAGACTTCAGCTGCAAACTGGAAATTTCCAATACGTCCAGAGATTCTAGGTTAAATACAAGACTGTTCAATTTTATTGCGGTAATTTTAGTCAACTTATCAAATCCAAGCATTCCTTATAGTTCAGAGGCATAAAATTACAGACACTTTTTGACTTCCTACATTCATTAAAACTGACTGGCAGCATTGAGGACACCCTGAACAATCCCCAAACAAAACAGAAAACGGAATTTTCCACAGCCACCACCCACTCATATCGCTTACACCCCATAAATACACGCATTCATACATATTTACACAAAACGCCGAATAACATTAGCTAAGCATACAACCAAAAACAAACTAAACACGAACTACCACTCCAAAAGGAAGCCGGCAAAATGTGGAAAACGCTGTGATCAAAAGAAAATGCAAAACAGCTGCTAAACTCGTCCGCTCCCCGCCACTTGAAAAACTGTTCTCTTTTTACACGAAGTCACCTTACATTTGCGAAGTTATAAAGAAGAACAAAACAATTCAACGCTCTTAAAGAGAATTTTAAAGTTTTTTATACTCCCTTAATGTTAAGTGCAAGAAAGAAATTTACAACGCGAGAGAGAGAGCGCAGAAAACGAGTTGTGCTGATGAAGAATGTGATTTGGGAACCTAACCAAAAACCAGTAACAAAGGCAAGGGCACGAACGGAGGCGGGAAAAAAGGCGGAGAAAAGGAAGCCAAACACGTTTTTCTGGCCCTAACGAACACACACGAGTATTCACGCCCATACAAACATACACTGTCGTGTGCATACAGATGTCGATGAGTATCGGGTTTTTCGAAGCGTCATTGTAACGCAAATTATATGCAGGCATATCAAAATATTTATATTTGTGGTATGTTTTTTATAGAAATGCGGAGTAAAGACAAAGCGACCAGTTTTTAAAGAGCGTTGCACAGTGGGATGGTTTTAAGGAATTTGCAATAATTTTTTTTTACAAATTTAATCTCCTCAGTTGGAGCGGGTATATAATAATTGCAAGAGCAATGAGCAACTATTTTTTTTAAGTGGTAGAGACAGATCATACTACTAGGGGGATCAGAAACGAAGAAAAGAGTTAATAATCTACTTGTAGAACATTTTAGCCCAACAGCAAAAGTAATGTAGAATTAAAATCAACCAATAGAGTGAAAAGAGCCAAATAAATATGTACTCACTTTCAACTACGAACTAAAGCAAATGGTTAAAACTTCTCGCTTAATTTTCGTTTTAGATAATACCTGACGGTATCTGAGGAAACCGGTTTTAGGTAAGTTAAAAACATTTTCAAAGTAATATACTTGATATGGGCTTATTTTTTAGAGTCGGCTTTCAAAAACAGATAAATTTCTCCGAGTGAATTATAATGCTTCCATTATACTAACAAAATACGTTTTAACTATAAGACTATCACCCTGTGTTCTTATTAGACCACAGAGAGTTTGACTCACATTTTCAATTCAGGCACGGTTTGTTTCTATTTCAGCTGAAACTTAACCATTTTTTGTAAAAGCCGTAAATACATAAGTACCTTCTTTTCAGTCTGCTAACAACTAAAATATGTTTTAACTTTTTACTGTGACTGAAAGCAGTGCGGTGTAGCTAGAACTGGTAGTCAGTTCAATTGGTTCAATAAATATAGGAAATTGTACATTTAAAATACCATAAGTAATTTCAGATCAAATTACACTATCAAGTTTAGTCCAATATTAAGCGACATATAATACTACCACAAGAGTTGGGCCGCTCCTTGCAAAAGTAAACTTTTTCGTATGAACTAAATCAGAGGAGGTATTGAGACAAAACAAAGACATAAGCCATAAGCCACCAACTTATACAGTTCAATACAATATGAGGGAGAGATTGGATTCGCCAGAGGACGAACTTTTAATATTTTTTATTATATTTATTATGCCAGATTGGGTTTATACGAGTTGAGTGAATGACTCGCCACTCCATACTCTCGAAGCCAATAAATTTTAGTCGCATAAAGAAATAAAAAAAATTTTAGAAAGAGTTTTAGATTGTAGTTAGATCCCAAACTATATTTCTGATAGGAAGCAAAACATTTTAATTGATGGTTTATTTACCTCGACGATTTATTTCTCCCTGTCAAACAGGCAATCTATATACAGTAGAAATATAAACTGCACATCATAACATAATGATTCAGATTAAGTTGAGCGTTAGAAGCATATAAAAGATATTAATTACCTACAAAAAATCTGTAGTTTCATTTCCGATAATTTTTGGAATGAGACCCCATACTTGTATAATGGCCTTTTCTCTTTGACGTGTTTGTAGTTTAATTTCCGAACAAGAACTTGATTTTGATCGTTCAGTTTGTGTAGTTGCTGTATGCGATAGTAGTCCGTTATCGCCGGGCTCCGACGTTTCCTTCTGGGTGTTACAAACTTCGTGATAAAGTTAATTCAGGGTCTAATAATTATACTACTTATAATATATAACGGAGCAGCTGAACCTTTTTCCGTAATTTTATAGTTTTTGCTATAATCCATCGTAATATTGTGCCACAGTAATTGTGAGTTCCTACCGAGATTAATTCACAGTACGCTTCTCTTTCACTGTTACGGCCTCTCTTACACTGCACCAGCAGCTACAAATGCACATATATGTATATGTGCGAGAGCATGTGCCGTAGTTTTAAAGAGCCAGCGTAGAGCATGATTTTGAGTTTGACATAGAAGCCGGCAAAGCCTTTGACTAAATTGGGGAGCTAAAGTCAAAGACGTTGATGACTCAGTAGTGGAGTGAGTTGAGGGTGTAGCATTGTTGTTGCCTACGCTGCTACTGGTAATAAAGTGTTGATGGTGGCGGCGTTCGTGCTGTGGACGGACGAATCGATGATGCCGACGTTGGTATAATTTCGTTTTAAAAACTAACAAAACAACAACATCGCAACTAACTAACAACATTTTTTCCACCTTCGCGCTGCGCCACACATCCCTACAACCCAACGCCTGGCTCCACGCTGTTGACATTACTGTTGTTACTCTCTGTTATTGGTGTTGCGCATGTTTGTGCTCCTTTATGCTCCGAAACTCTTCCTGTATGTCAACGCCAGTGTATGTGTGCGTGTGTTGGTTTGTCAGTGCAAATATGTTTGCAGCAGTGGGGTTGTTTGGTTAATTCGCAAAACTTGCATTTCGTACGCCAACAGCGCCAGGCGACAGCCGACAATCGACGACGCAGCAGCAAGTCAGCGAGTCAGCGGCGCGCTGGAGTCTTCTTGTGTTCAGGCAGTTCAGTTAGTTCAGTCAGTTCAGGCACAGACACGTTTGCTCAGTCAATTGTCTGGTCAGTGTCAGTTTGGCAACGCTCGTAATAGGACGTGTGTTTTTGTGTGCGGCGGCATGGTCGGGCAACATCGTGCTCAAGCCTAGCGTTCACTTTTTGATTTCGGTAAACAGAGATTTTTAGTTGATAAATTACAAGTTTTTGTCGTGAGTTGAGTTGAGTTATTCGTGGTTGGAAATATAGCGAGTAGAAACCAAAATATAAACTTAATGGTTCGTTTGAATTACTAGCAAGCGAACGCCATTTGCCATTGAATTTAATTTACGCTGTGCCGACGACATCGGAGACGCAAGCGGCAGAAGTGTTGCACGGCAGCAGTGGCGAGCGTGTTGTAAAGTGAGTGCGCTTGCTAGTTGGCCAGCGAGTAACAACATTTGAAAATACATTGAAACCGGTTTGTTTGCCTTTTGGTATTTAGTTGTGTGTGTATGCGTGCGTTTTGCGGCTCAAAGCAGCCAGCAGCAGCACGGTGAGCTGTTTCAACGGTTTTGTGGAAATTTCGATGACTACGCGCGTATATGTGTGTGTGTGTCGCACACCGAAAGAATGCAGTCATGGAAAAGCAAGCATAAAAACGCGAGTACCAGTAACAATTGCTGAAAAATTCCAATGTACAAAAACAGGCCACAAAGACTGTTTATATCAAATTTCATTGTGAAAAAATTTTGTGGCGCTATAAAAATCACATATAAAAATTAAACGGTGAATAAAAACGTTGCTGTTAATAAAAACTAAAGCGAAAAAATTGAAAAAAACACTTTAAAAAATTTAAAATTTAAAATAATAAAAAAAAAATATTAAATAAAAAAGAAAATAAACAGCTCAATATATTATATCGAACCTATTTAAGTTAAAAGCTATTTGTAGTCGAAAAACAGCGTAATAAATAACGAAAAATTTTAAATAATAAAACTACTGTAAGTAAAATATTCGCGAAGTGTTTGGTATTTTACGCTGTTTTTTTATGAAGCAAACATTTGTGCAAGTGTTTGTTGTTGTACGTAAATATTTGTGGCAAAGTGTGCCTTACATGGCTTAACATAGCCAAAAAAGCATCAAACCGTAAGCACACAAAAATACGCTAAAACATGTAGCAATAATTTTGACAGCTGCCAAAGCGCCGTGCTGAAACTTTGTGGTTTTAAGACATTTAAATTAAATATAACCGTGTGTGTGACCTAACCGGATTTGCGCAAATATCTCTACATAAATAAAAAAAATAAAATAAATGAACGTACTAAATAATTGTGCCGCAATTTATCACAGTTTAACCAATAATTTATACTACGGCTTTGCCTAATGCTGTGAAGTGTACAAATTGAATATAGCTGGCAAATAAATTCAATAGAATAAGCGCCGCACGCCCATGCTGAGCAGAAGAATTGCCACTTGACAGCGCACACAGGCAGGCTAGCAGGCGGCAGGCTGACACAGCAGCGCATTGGTTGCGGTGACGCAGAATAATTGAGGCGAAGCCACGCAAATAATCCTATCAGCAAGCAAGCGAGCGGTCGGTAAAGCGCAACAAGAAAGTCAACTAAGTAGCACAGACAAGTCGGCCACTACAAAGTTGAACGTGCGCTGTATGTTTGCCAACAAAATAGCAACTACAAGACGTACGTAAAAGATATAGCGCGCAGTGAGCAACTCAATCACGGAAGTAGCAAACGTGCGCGAGGCACAAACACGCTATTTCTACTTCCGTAGCGCAGCGACGTCACTGTATCGGTTTGCGGTCCTGTTGCGCCGCGCAAGCGAACGTAAAGGAAAAGTCGAAGCGAAAAACTTTTGCAATATCAACAACAACGCGTTGCGCCACAGGCGGCACCAAGCACTTCCCAAAAAAAATCAGTGTTGGCACTGCAAATAGCAAGCGCATAGCAAGCGCTTAGTGGCTTGCAGCAATAAGTGTCAGCGCGTTGGCCACCGCGAGGTCGGGAGTCGCGTTAAAAATTCCAACATCAAGCAACTAACACACACGTATACATATACAGCGAGTCCGGAAGCCGCGAAAACTAAACTAATTTTCAGCTTACGCAAACGCTACCAACGGCGCGCGTCAACACATTTTTCTTACTCAATGTTTCCGGTTGCCGCTGAGACCAAACAGCAGCACTAACGCCACACGCTTGCACCGCCAGCAGCTGCTAAAGGCAGCGCGCACACAGCAGCAAGTTGAAGTTAGAATTGGAGTTGGAAAGTGCCGTCCACCTTCGTATTGTGTAGGTGGCGAACACATAAGTCCTTTATTTTTTAGCGGCAAATGCGCGTAAAGCAACTTAAATTAATAGTAACAAAAACGCAACGCGTTTGCCATATTTCAACGCCACGACACTTGAAGTGCAAAGGACTCGTCACACAAGTTCACTTTTCCTTACAAATACCTAAGCGCATGCATACAAATCAACGTGTACTTTAGACGCGTGTGCAGTTTTTGATATAAGTAGCAGAAACTAGTGCTAGCGCTTGTGCTGCGGAGCAACACCGCGGAAGGTTCTTGAGTATTTGCCGTCCCGCGCCTCCGCGCATGTTATTCTATCCAACTCATTCATGCTGCTCTGTTCGTTTCGGTCATAATGTCGTAATAACTGTCACCACTGTTTGCTTAAATGCGAACGAGCCAGTGCAAACAGCTAGCCCGAGTAGTAGCTGCGGCATGAGCGCCATCATTTAAGAACGTAATGTAGCGCATGAAACGCAAACGCACCGAACGCAACCGTAGCGCAAGGCGACTTCATAAAGTACTCGAAGCTAAACCAAGCCGGGCGGCTGGCAAAAGGAAAGTCATCGTTAGTGGGTGCCATTGCACTTTTTTCATATTTAATTTAACGGAAATTGTGTTGAATTAGTGCGAACTATAAAGGAGGCAACTAGCAGGCGAAGTAGTGAAAATAGAAGAGAAAGAAAAAATAAATAGTGGCATAAAATATACAAGTACTTACGAGTAAAATAAAATAGTTTACTTTAGTGTTAGTTCGATGTGCCACCCCCCATGAACACTGCGCTTCGAGCTGAGATCTAAGTGTGTGTGTATGTGAAGCCCCGCTGTGTGTAAATAATAGTTATATAAAGAAACTCATACTTGAGTGTATGCAAACATATATTTGTCTATACATACATACATACATATAAGTGTAAAGTGTCTAACGCGTAATTCCGTTTATACATACATACATACCGTCACACTTGTAGCAACAGCGTTACAAATCGCCAGTGAAATCGCGTGTGTGTGTTTGTGCGCGTTAGTGAGATACTTAAAAGTTATAACCAAGTCGAGCAGACCCATTGAAGAGTTGAAGTGTGAATATTTATATACCTATATATATACTGTATATATCTGTCGACCTACCAGCCGCGCGGCTGTTAGTCGGTCAGCAGTCAGTAAGGCAGTTAGCCAGCGGATGCGATTCATAATGAAAATCTAATTTATGCGCACCGGATTGAAGTGGTCATCCATCTCTGCAGCAGGCGATTTTTGCCAACGTTTATTTATCACAGTTTTTATTGTTGTTGTTGCCTGCATCTTATACGACTCGCTTGGTAAGCGACGCGACGCGATACGTTGAATGTGGATTTGCAGGTCAGTAGGAATAAAAAGCAATTAAAATGTTATTAATATGAGTATCCTCATGCATATGCTTCTGCATCTGTATGTATGTAGTTATATATGTAATTTAATATCGTATATATATGTATATGCATAATAAATATTACATTGACATATTAAAATATTATATATAGTGTATTTTCTGTATATACCATATGTATACATATATTCGATTTGGAACTATATATAACCGTCTTCGATTCGCCACTTCTCTTTACTCTTTTTGAGTTCAATACAAGAGAATATTTGATTGATGCCAGTTGTTTATTCGATTCGCCACTTGCAAATTTTTGCCTAATCGAAGACACCGAAAGAATGCTGGCTTCGTTAGTTTGTTGTTGACTTGTAGTACCTATGTACAAGTATACTTTATATGCAATAAAGTAAAATATCTCGGGTTCGCCTAGTGTTAGAAGGTAGTGAATCGAACAAACTATATAAGCTGTTCAAGCAGATTGACAATACTTTAGTGCAGCCTTATGCTAACCTGCCCACTTTGGTGAAGAAATCCTTCTTTCCACGGTCCTTTGCTTCAAGCAGCACCCATACCTAACGTTTTCTGTAAAAAATAAATATCTATTTTATTTGAAGTCTTAAAGGATTATATTCACTTGTGAATTAAAAAAAAACTTTTTTGGTTTTGCATACGAGTATATGGACCAGAAATTGAAAGAAATTCACTAGGAATTCAGTAGGGCGAAACCCAAACGAAAGATAAAATAACAAACATGAAAGGAAAAATAATTTACGGGCTATCTGAGGTCGAAAAGAGGAAGGGAAGGGGCGTGGTTGAATATTTTAGGGTTAACAATTTTTTATCTCGACTTCCGGCAAATCTACAATTCCTATAGAAAAAAGTTATGTTGCAAAGCCGTAGGTAATAAAAAGATTTACAACTTTTGTATCAACACCTTTTTCACATAACCTCAAAATTGATGTGAAAATTTCAAATGTCGGAATTTTTTGGTTTTTTATTATTTTTTTTTTTGTAAAAAAACACGAAATTTATGTAAACTTACCTTTTTATGTCCCAAATATATATCGCCATTTTTGGAGGTCGTCCTGGAAATCGGCTACGGGATCCAAAATTTTTCAAAATGAATTATTGATTGTCAAAGTACATTAAAATCCGTAAATATAAATTATATTTATTTATTTATTAAATAAGATGCCTTTTCCAAAAATCAACAAAATTCGCATTTTGCAAGTGAATATACTCGTTTAAAAACAAAATTTGTACTGTTATTTTTGAGAGTCTTTTAACATGTAATACTTGTCTAAAGTTTGTAAAACAAAAGCATTAAATAAAGCGGCGTTACCACATTAATGAGCCATCTGCATATTCTCTTATATCGAATTCAAGTCGTTAACCTTGTTATTGGTTTTATGTGAAAATTTTTTGACAAGATAGCGGGCAGGGAAATGGCGAATCGATGACTAGCCATCATCGCAAAAACATCACACAATTTGGCTTCACTTATCATATAAAAAGTATAATTGACCCTCTTACTTTACACATCATTATTAACTTCTAAGAATTGTTTATGCACTGAAACGCATTTATTATAATCATATATAAGTATTCATAGACTATATTTAGAAATCTAGGGATGATTTTTGCAAGTTTTGGTCAAATTATCTTTCTTTAAAATGTCAATATCAGCTAGTTAGTTGCAAATAATTCCCTTATTATATTTTTGGTTCATATAATAAAAACAAAGTTTGCAAGTGGCAGATGAAGAAGAGCATTTCAATGTTCTAAACGCATGAATGTGCGCCTGCATGGCGCCACTCAGCCACTGATGCTGAGAAAAGCACGAGCGCTTCATTGTAATTCCATATATTATATATTATCAGTATCATTGTATTATTTCTGGCCCACATAAAGAGATAATAAGTATGCACATAAAAGTAAAGTGGGGAAAGAAAGATCCATAAATAGGGGTGCAGCCAAATGGGTACCTACAAGTGTTATCATTTGAAGTTATGTGTGGTTTATGGTACATATGTATATATATTATGAGTCACACAACTCGTTTAGTGACTATCAGTTGTTTCATTAGAAAATACCTTGTTCTCATAGCGTAATAAGAGAACTCGAACTATTGTTTTTTTCATTCTCAATAAAAATTCAGAAACAGAATATGTTTTTTATAAGCGTGTGTCAAAAGAATACACAACTCAGTTAACATTTCCTTGAAAGTATTTAACACTACTGTTAATATCGGAGCTGTGAAATATATGTTCAATTTTGTTTGCTGTATACCATTTATTTTTTCGTGTTGCAGTATTATATTTTATTATGCTTGTTTTTTAACCTTGTAAGTCAATAGCTCAACAATAGGACTTATCCATTGTTTCTATGGCATTTAATTTAATTCTATTTTGGTACAGCGAATTATGTTACGGAGAGGAATGTGTGTTTTAAACACCGCCCACTAATAGGTTTGATTTACATATCTCCCAAACCACCTAAGCTGAACCAATCAAAATTGCTCACGATAACTCTTTTTGGCACCCCACCGACGGTGTGCAAATAGCTGAAATTGGATTATAATACCGCCCTATCCCTATATAACAGTTGTATTAAAAACTACTATAAGTGCGTTCACTCAAAAACTAAATGCGTCAAAGAAATAAGAAAAAGCTTTATAGGATGCGGTATCAAAATTGGACAGTGGGCGTGGCACTGTCCATCTTTTAGTGAAAACCCATAGCTTAAGACTTGTTCGACTAATTTCAACCAAATTTGGTAGATAACATTATCCTGACATTACTACATATGGTGTGAAATAGAACCACAACCACGCCACAATTTTGAATTCCATATGATTTTTCACTATACAAATCAAGCATCACTGAATATAACTGGATAAAACTTTGCACCAATAGCGCTTTTAAAGTACGTCATCTCAAGTCTAAAAATTATCAAAATTGGACCTTAATTGTTCAAGTCCTCAAGTGTAAAGTCTGGCGCCTATGGTTGCAATTTGAGTCCAAAGTGGATAAAATCGGGTCAAAACTTTCTAGCCTCTATATACTCAATATAAGTACTTCAAACTTCGGCTAAGTTGTTTCTCCGGCTTTGATCCTTGCGAGAGTGTCAAACGTTCAGTTGATCCCGATCGTAGTGCTTTCTCACTTGTTTTTTACAGTGTAAATTTAATTAATTTATTTTAATATCGCAATTATCTGTGATTTTGTATTTAAGAAGTTGTTGTAAAAATCCGTTTTTCCTATATTTTTGGAAAAAATATATAATATAGCAGGTAGCCAAGCTTTTCCAAGTGATTTTAAAATTTTTAATTGTTTCCATAGATTTAAAAGCAACTCCTAATGGCAGAAATGAAGTTATATTACGACCCCTCTTGAGACTGAAATAGTTTTTATTTGCATGCAACTCATGCAAAAGTTCGTATGCATATATCTGTCATGTTCGTTTCGCCACTTCTCTGCTTTATATGTGTGAGTTTGCTTTGTTTCATCTCAAGAATTAATCAAGTGTAAGCAACAAAAAAGTTAGCCAGTTTTCTACAGTAGCCTTCTCTCTCTCTCTCTCTCTTTAGCTCTGTCTGTCATAACCTTTATGCTAGTGCAATAAACATGTGTTCGCTGCAAGAAAGAGTTGAAGCATGATTTAAGTGCACAAATAAAATTATTACTCATATAAAGTCAAATAAAAATGTCATTTTGGTTTCCATAACTCTTTAAGCAACGAAAAAGTGCGCATTAATTTTCTTGTCGTTAATTTTATTTTACAAACAGGAGATATGCACATATTTCTAAGGCATTTCATGACCTACAGTTAGTTAGAAAAACAAAACAGCTGCTGTCACACACACAAGCACAAGGAGACTTTTGTGACTTTCTCGGCAACCACTTGGGTCATTAAGTTGAACCACTGTTTAGATTTATCTGCTATTATAATCTAAATAACGTCATAAAATAGCAGTTTTCTTGAGGTTGATAAGTGTAAAAAGTAGTAAATGCAGCAAAGAACGCACAGTGGCAATGTTTTTACTTGTAAGCGCATATGTGTGTGACAGTTGCCACATGGCGAAGTGTGTAAACATTTGGATTATACGAGCACCTTTTTTCTGCCTTCCTTCTCCCTTTGCTTGCGCATCCATTGATCTACGCTGCTGCGTCTTCTTACGCACATTTTGCTGTAGCATCTTTGTGTCTGCACTGGAGTGTTGTTAAAAATGACTTTTACAATAAATTGAGTAACCTTGCCTACATAAATACCATTCAGTGGAATTCTTAAGTGTTACTATAAATGTCTGGCTAATGCTAAAATGAATTTCTCACCTATGGCGCTGGCCGCTCTCAATGATTTATAGCAAATACAATAGTTGCTTAAGCAGCTATATATTAAGGCGGATAACCGTTAACTCTGACTTTGTTGCATCTGGCAATTGTAGTGCCCACATGCATGTATGCTTGCTATGATATTTTTTGGTGTTTGTTGTTGTTGCATTGTAATTACTTTTATGTAGGACTTCGTAAATAAACTGCATTCCTTCATTCTCATTAAGATAAATATTAAATTAGGCTTCTGCGAACTGCAAGAAGACAAGAAGAATTCTACCATAGATGTCGTCTAAAAGCCGGCGAGCAAATATCTGATGGATTTAAATACAAACATATGCATGTAAATGTTTGTAAATATATACATATGTATATATGTATGATTTATCGTGTAAAAATCCGATTTTAATGAGCGCAAACTCTTTAATAGAAGTATTATTGTGAGGTTAATTCAAAACAAAATAATTTTTAATTTAAGACTAAAGTTCTTGAAAATTTTATTTTCGTCAAAAATAAAAATTAAAAAATTATAGATTACCGTATTATTATTGTATGTAGCGGCTTTGGGAAGTTTCTTATTATGATAAAAAATATTTTTATCTGAATATAAAATTATGTCAACGAATTAAGCTCCTTAATCTGAAAATTATAATAATAGAAAT